AAAATTGAATTTTTTTTTTATAATTACAGAATCGTCTTAAAATTAAAGAAATGTTTTTTTACCCAGAGGGAAAATGTCCACTGTAGCAGAACTTCGTAAATTCACTCAATTGTTATTTCTTCCTTCTGTCTTGCACAATCTGTTGACATTCTTCGTGACAAGCATCATATGTAATTATTTGATCGTGTTCTGTTTTTTTTTCTTCCGAAATATTCGACGCAACGATGACTGCTTACCAAACTCTCAAATAGAACGTAACGTGCTTTATAACGATTCTTGCCAATAGTAACTCATATTATTGCTCCCTCTTCACCACATTAGTAGAATTATTGCAAGGAGACTAATACATACTCTGAAAATGCTTCAAAGAAAACGCAATAGCAATATACCGATCTAAGAATCGCCACGGTGCTACGTGCCTCTCAAGCGAATGAGTGCCGACGCTACGATTCGATCGTATGCTGTTGAGGTAACGATCGTACAAGTATTTCGAAATGATGAAACTGTACTAATAGAAGCCGTTTATTGTTTTCCTATTGAAGAATAAGCAGCCGTGCATGCTATTGTAGCTCGTATGGACGATCGCGAAATTGTTGCTCAATTAAAAGAGAAGCAACATGCTCAACATAAACACAATAAAGCTCTTCGCGAACATCATGATGCTTACTTGCTAAAAAAAAATGAAGAATCCATGGAGAATTTTATCATCAACGCTAGAGTTCTGCCACCTAGCCAAGAATGTCATAGAATGATTTCGTATGTCACCGAACTAGATTCCGTTCAAAATGGAACAAAAATTTGATGTATACTACAGAGTATGTTCAATCAGTTCCATCTACAATTGAATTTCATTGTCATGCGAATAAAGTTGAAACATCGGGTGTTAGTTCGACGTCTCATTCGATTCAAATAGATTTTAACCAGGAAGATATCTATCTCATTGAATTTGCTCAAGAAAATACTCATCTGGACAGAGATATAATTGTGAATATGGAGTTATCTGAAAATCGATCGAATACAATTGTTGCTGTTGAGTCCGATGCTATCATGGCATCGTTCACTCCAACTGAAAAAGATTGTCGACTTGCGATGAATGATAAAAACATTATCAACGAATTTATCTTCGTTGTTGACTGTAGTGGATCAATGAAAGATGAGAATAAGATTGGATTAGTTCGTCAAGCTATGTTACTCTGCCTTAAAAGTCTTCCTATCGGTTTCCATTTTAATATTATTCGATTCGAAAGTCGATATAAGAGCTTATTCAATGATATCACAGTTATTTACAATGATAAAAATGCTAAAGAAGTTGAATAGCTCATCAATCGCATGAATGCTGATATGGATGGTACTGAACTCGTAAATTTACATTAGTTTTGTAAAAGAATACAGTGAATTTGACGAATCATTTCATTTAGTGATCGCCTATTCGTTGACTTCAACAGAACTCTCCAGATCAAGATCATGCACGTCAAATTTTTCTTCCCTCCAATGATGAAATTTCAAATGTCAATCAACTACTAGATTTATGCGATTCCATAGCTACTTCAACTAGCATTTTTTCATTTGGTTTAGGTCATTCACCTAGTTGTTCGCTTATCAAAGGTCTTGCTCGTACAACGATCGGTCGTTTCGTATTTATTCCACCGGATGAAAATGTTGATGTATACGTTGGTGAACAGCTGAAGAAAGCTCTGCAACCATCTATTACAAGTGTTCAAACAAAGTTGAATCTTGGTCAAACACTCACATCAATGTTATTCCTACAAATGTATCACCTGTCTTTATTAATGATTGTCTGATTGTTTATGTTCTTATCAATGACGACAAGTTAACATTGTGTAGAATAGGCTCAAGTCAACCGAATTCCAAATGTCAGCGATTCAGAAATGATTGCTCGACTAGCTACCAAAGAATTCATTTTGAAATTGCAATATTCTAGATTTTCTTTATCTACGAAGAAGGCTATGGCAAGTTTATGAGAAAGTCAATGTGAAGAACAAGATCAGCAGAAGATGGCAGCATCGAATGATGAAAGTGTAGTGACAAAAAAAAACAATAAAAGACGACATCGTCAAGATTTCACTCAAACACAATATTTTAAGTCCGTACACAGCTTTCGTTGGCATAGAACCATGTGTCGATGCAAACAATGCTAATAAAATCTTAGGCATAGTGCTTATACAAATATTAGCCGATAATCAATATTTGAAATACTTGAACACATTTATCTCTCAAATGCATCATCAGCAATACAATATGCCGAAGCTCTCCAGCGCTTCCAACAAGCGAGACAGTCTTCAAAAAAAGTCTCATGATGCTGCTCATCAAGTTGAACCGGATGATCAAGATATTGTTCGTCACATAATCAATCAACAGAAATATAATGGGCTGTGGAATGTTCACACGAAGCTTATTGAGCAGCTGACTGACAGAACATTGTCAGAATTTCAACAGTTAAAAAATACAGAAGTACTTATTTCAGCCATTATTGTCATTGTACTCGAGACAGGTTTTGCGTCATTTTCGTCAATGTGGTATGGTGTAGTACAAAAAGCACGCAAACGTCTTCTTGATACGCTCGACCAAGACAACGAGAAATTTGACACCTTACTCGAAGATATTCGAAAGCAACTATAAACAATTAAAAGTCTATTAAATGAATATATCAAAATTTATTAAACTAGCTAGAATAAATAATTGGTGATAATTAAAAAAATAAATAAATGATTTCATTTATTGCTTGATCGAATACCGTTTATCATGTGACAGACGTAATGTTGAAATAGGTCAAATAATAGACATCACCTTTCTAAAACTTTATTCGATACTTTTTCATGTTTTCTTCCAATATTATTTCATATACAATAGTTATTTAAAATGACGTTCTTCAACTGAAAACACATTAATCTATAATTATCGCAATATTGAAAAAACACTTTAGTTACATAATCTGTTTACAAAACATTGTTCAGAAAGTAATCGATGGAATGCAAGTTCACAATAGAAACAGTATATCGCTGTGTATAAGGCGAACTCAAACAGTGATATTCCATATAAAAAATATCTTTTGACAGATTTGATTCCTGATGAAGTAGTCTCAGATCATGTAAGCAGAGTTGTTTATTTCAATGTCATTCATTGATCGATCAATTAATATTTGGTTTTTGTGAATGAAGCTAAAGAACTATTTGTTCTATATTGCAGTAATTTCATCAGTCAACCACTTCCAATAAAAGAACCACACGTTGTTATTTTGTTCAAAAACAGCAGGATATGTAGTTTGGCGGAGATTCGAGTCTCACTCGACTTTTCTCTATTGTAATAGAGGTTATGATATAATGAAGTGTTAAGTTACTTCCTTAGAGTTTCCTTCACTTCCCACGTAAAAAAATAAAATAATATCATGGCATATTCTCTCTATGTAACATTGGCAGATAGTAGCATTTTTCTCCCACATTCGTACTGCTTAATGACTCAACAGAAGTCATTATAAAAGACAAACTTGTAAAACAAAACTCATTAATACTTATTGCAACAATCTAGAATCACTGCCGCTTCTCTATTATCAGTCGTGTAATTTCATCCACTAAATCTCAAACTTCAATACTACGAACATAATCTCAATATTTGATTATCCAGAGAAAAAATGATCAAAATATCAATTCCTATGACCTTTAACTGACACGGCAGCTCTACTCGGATGGTTTACACACTGAGAATGGATAATCGGTTTACCGGCTTTTTGTTCGACCCCGGCGACTATGTAGACTGGTTAATTAATAGAAATTTCTGGTATTTTTAGTGTCATTATACATATATGAAACAAGAGGAAATAGATGAAAGATTTCTTCAATGAATTATCTTCTTTGTCATGGGTAATTTCATTGATCTGTCGACAGATTCTAGTGATAAATATTACCAAAACTTTTTAAAACTAAACTTATTTTTTGCATGCTTATAAGAAATTTGGTGAATCTCAATAATATGTTGATGTAAAAATGAGGTAGCATCATTTTGTAATTTCAAATCAATCTACAAAATACAAAAGAGTCAACAGCATGATCAAAATGACCTGAACGTAGCATGAGATTTCAATTTAAACAATATCCATTGTTTTGAATGAAAAAAGAAGGTCATTCTTCTCAAGATGAATAATATAATCCACAAGAATTTACTGTTATTGTATATAATAGTTTAATGCCTTGCTCATATTTTGCAAATGTAGCAGTGAGATGATTAAATAAATTCTCGAACAGTAAAAGTGTCAAACATATTTAAATATTACATCATTGATATTTTATTCACGTTCATATAAATTAATTGACCTTGAGATTTTTTGCATAACCGCCAACATTTGTTGAGTGTCATCTAATATGAAAATCTTCTGCTATTGCCGGAAAACACTATGATTTTGTTAGAAAACTTAGTTTTAAATCATCCTCTGACATTATCAACTAAAATATTACAAGTAATTAATTTATAGGCTCTCGAAATATATTTAATCGATGCACTAGATGTCACTCTTAGTTGAATAATTGATACGAATTAGGCTAATAAATTCATTTTTATTGAAAAATAACGATCAAATTTCAATTAAACTAGTCTCTTTTTTATAATCATTCGAAACTTTATTTTCAATAATAAACTTTACAATCATCGATATGTTTAATTTGTTGTATTTAATCAACCAATAAGATAAATCTATCTCTCCTAGAGATAATCCCATCGCTTTCTTTCTTTGTTCAACTTAAAGAAAAAAAAAATCGAATATATCATCATACTATTTAATTATATTCTCTTGAGAACAGTAAGATACTTCATTTTTCTTTTCTTCAATATAGACATATGAAACCTTTTGTTTGAATATATATATGATGAAACCTTTATAATTTTATTGATTTCTCTATCAACTTATTATAGATTTATTTGTTAGTTTTATTTTTATTTCATCTATTTCTTGTGTTCGATTGAAAAAAAAGAAAAAAAAAAAAATCATCATGCTCTTACACAATAATACAATTGCCACTGCTGGTTTTCTCTCAACGACAGAATCTCCATCGTCAACAACAAGTGTCTATTCTCATCAAACAAATCTACCAACAACATCAACAAATCAATATTTTCAAAATTTTCCACCACCTTGGATTCAACAATATAATAATCAACGATTATTTAATCAACAATTTTTTGTACGTATATTATATATAATTTTATTGTTTTGTTTTGTTCTTCAAATATTCATTCTTACAGGAGTTAGAGATATTTATCAACAGGTAATCATTTTTATTTAGTGTCGCTTCTTTTCTATCTTTGCTTGTTATATATGTGTGATATATATATATATATTCTAACAAATTTTTTGAGTCTTATCACAAATCGATTTTTTCAGGAGAGATAATGTCTGATGATGATAATGATGATGGTGGTGATGGTAAGATAGTTTGATATTGTCTCTCTCTCTCTTTTTTCTTTTATTGTTGATGTCATGGTTGACTACCTATCATCCCATATCAACTGTCTTGCACATGTATATTTATATCGTTTTTTTTTTGTTAAAGCACTTGATGCAATTATTCTACACAGAAAAAATCGCATGGATTAATAGTCCGATTCGATGTAGTGTGACTATTTATTTTTTTTTAAATGCATGTATAAGAGCATGTCAATTTCTTTTATCCGTATAGGTGTACAGCATGAAGTTAGTTTTACTTTCTATGAATGAGGATGATATGCATGTATGTATGTTATTCTTTTCTTTTTTTTCTTTTCTTTTTTAATACGAATCAATGTCTATCGGTCAAATTCAGTTGAAAAATAAACATAGAACATGAGTGTTCATTTCAATGGTAGAGAAAAATGATAACCTTGTTTGAGCAGTAATTGTCACATATAAGTATACGACGACAAGGTCTGTTTATGTGATACGTGTCAATTGATCAATTTTCATAGTAATCCTTGTTTGTGTCACGATCATCATCAATTTTTTTTTCTTTGACAGAAATTTTGATTCGTTTATAAGATATGTTTTTTTTTTTTACGAATCATTGTCGTTTATATTTAGAGAAAATAGTGAAGCCTATATTTAGAATCATTTCTAGTGAAAGCACATGTTTTGTACGAATACGAATAATGACGCATGTATTCGTTGATTTGATATATGTAAAAGAGGAAAATACGAAAAAAGAAACCAGAAGAAAAACCCGATCATATATACAACGTGCACATCTACACAATTGGCTTTGTTAACAAAAGAAAGAGAATACAAAACAAAAAAAAAAAAAGAAAACTATAGAAAGAGTCTTCGTTACAAGATGTAATAAATGAAACTTCTTCACTACCCACAAATTGCCAAAACAATAGATAGAAAGTGAGAACAAAAAAAAACGAGTATAGAAAAGAAAGAAAAAGAGAAAAAAAAATCATATTTCATATCTTTGATTATTTCGTCGTTTTGTTAATCGTCGTTCTTATTGTTGTCTCCATCGATTCTCATAACACGCTCATCACACGAGTCCAATAGGAGACAAAGCAAAAGATTGATAAAGAATAAGAAAAAAAAATAGGAAGGGGGGGAATGTTTCGTTGTTATTATCAAACAAAAGAAGAAACCTACCAGTGTGATCACTCAATCGAACCAAACTTACACATCATTTAGAACGACAAGGAGAAAAAAAAAAGACTAAAAAGTGTATGCGCATATCAAATCGACAATAGTATACGAAGACTCTTCTCACTTGGCTCGTTCAGTTAATCTTCTCTTTTCTATCGATTACGTGCATACAACAACCACACGACTACAAATGTTCGACAGCGTGTCGTGAATAAGCAAGAAAAAAAAGAAAAAAGAAACGAGTCTACTACATTGAAACAATCATAAAATAATCATATTTTCGTTGTGTATATGTGTGCATCTAGTTCACACGCACGTCACCGAACCCAACCGACATGTTGTTAATTGTAAGTGCATGTTTGTAAAACTCGAGGGAGGACAAGAAAAAAAAAAGACTTTCATCTCGTAATCGAGATATTTGAATTCTATTGTTTTTGATTGTCTCACGATTTTATTGTTCTTATGCTAGCAACTAACTCATCTTGCTCTATTTGTCTTTTTTTTTGTTTCATGTATTTTATATGATAGTTATAAAAAATATGTTCAATTTTTCATTCTTTTTGTATTTTCTTCGATTTATGTTTTTGTTATTTTTCATATTTATCTATTTCATTATTTAGAGTCCGACGATGTTAGCAACAGCTCCATCACATAGTATTAATAATAATCGAAGTAACAACAATACGAATACAACTAGTCCCACGACAACACTTCTTACAAAAAATGATCTTATCGCTTTTCATCATCTTCAACAACAATTTGATGCATCATCATCCAATTCGGTATGAATATTAAATATAACTATAAAACTACATGACTTCCGGCCATATGTTCAATATATACAATGACTTAGGCCATTTTTATTCGTTATGAATTTTATCCATTTGGTTTTCTTTTAACATCCTAATTAGATGAATGACTAGATGGTAGAGAAAAGAAGATAAGAAAGAACAAAAAAAAAGGACGATACGAGCAAAAAAAGAAAGAAAAAGTTCGGTCAACAGGCAATATTTAGATGTATGCGATCAATTGATTGAAGAGAACAGTTGAGCATAATGAAAGCATCTGCTCAAGTATATCAATGTATTTTATAGTGAGAAGAACTACAATTAGTCGGTCATTCGCTTACTTGATCCGTCTGTCTGTTATATTTATCTTGAGATCGACCGGATAAAAAAGTAACGAAACGGAAGTTATTTTATAGCAACAGACAATATCTTGTCTTGTCTCTTTCTCTCTCTCTCTCTCTGTCAAAATCAAACTTATTAGTGCAATAAGTCAAATAGACGAAAAGAGCAATGAATACATCCTTTGATTTTATAAAAAAAAAAAAGTTTGTTCATGGGATATTTATCTATGCAAATAATTATCAAATGTTTAGATTTTGCTCGAAAATTTGTTGGCATATATATTATTAGCAATTGATAGATGATAACAAATATATGTATTATTTGGTTGGTTAGGAAGATATCTACGTATTAAGAAAAGAAGAGAGAGAAAAAAATAATAAAGGCAATGACAATATCGAGTATTCTGTTTAATATATGATAGCAACAATAATGAATAGAAAGAAAAAAAGGAACTAGTAACATCACCAAAAATTTTCCTATATATATATATATATGTCTGTCTCTTGCTTTTTTTGTAGGAGACACATGATAATACGTTGCACATTTTTCTATAGATATATTATCGAAGAGTGATGATAGCATTCTCTTTTTTTTTTTGTGTCTCTCGTTTTTTTCTTTCCTAACAATTGTGTATATTCGTTCTGTTACCATTAATGAACGAGAATGCTGACCGAATTTTGTTTTCTGTTCTTTCAGTTTGTCTGTCTGTTGTATTATATTGATGCCACTGCTATCTTTTCCTCTCCACCCATTTTCCCAATATAGATCGTCTTTCTTCTTTTTTCTTTTCTTTCTTCATATTAGTGCGAGCAATGAGATATATGAGAACATTCGTCTTCTCCTATTGATTCCACGAGTTCTTTTTTTTTTTTTTTTTGTTGTTATTATTGTTGGTGCTATATCTACGATGTTATATTCATTTCTACCATCGGATAATTATTTGACATTAAATGTAAGTTTTTTTTGGTTTACTAAACATTTTCTTCTTGTCTACATATGTTAAGTCAACTGATAACTAATGTTGAAATAGGGTGGAGAATATAGGATGATTTGTTTTCGCATCAAAGATCTTTTCGAAATGCAAATATATATATATATATAGTAAAAGAAAGATCATATTCCCGGAAGCACATTAAATTAAAGATTAGAAATGCATATAAACTAGTTTGATAGAATAGCTTAACAAGGCTAGATATGACAATAAATAACTATCAAAAAATTTTTCTTTCCTTTTTAGCCTTTAGTACCAACATTATTAGCAGCTGCAGCTTCATCATCATCAGGTTCAACAACGACCAATAATACTACGGGACCATCATCAACAATAACTAATGGTACATATTCATCTCTATCATCTTCAATGGACTCATCTACATTGGTTACAATTCCTAGTCAACATCATTCATATGCATCTACAAAAATGAATAAAATATCCAATCTTATAATTGATTCAACATCACATTTACCAAAAATTGTTAATGTATCATCATCACCATCATCAATTATTGAATCAACAACGAACAGTAATACTAATACTAATACTACTACTAATAATAATATTATACAATCGTTATCTCCAAATGATAATGTATGTAAAAAATCTTTAAAAAAAAAAAACAATACATAATTTTAATTATTTAAGATTCAATCAAATTCTTGTTCATCTCATTCACCTCAATCAACAAGTACAGTAACACCAAATGGTTCATCATCATCATCATCATCATCATCAATCCATAGTTCTAATACAACACACAAACGATTACATGTATCAAATATTCCATTTCGTTTTCGAGATGATGATCTTAAAGCAATGTTTGAAGTAATTAGAAAGAAAATTAAAAGATTATTTTTTTTTACAAAAATTTTCTTTCGATTTAGCAATTTGGTGAAATAATTGATACTGAAATTATTTTCAATGAACGTGGATCTAAAGTATGTCGAAAGAAGAAAAAAAAACTATAATATTTTTTTTTTGTTTTCAAATATTGACATTAAAACAAAGTGACTTATATTCATTTATTTAATAATTATTAAATATTTCAAGTTAATTAGATTTTCTCTTTGCATAGAAACTATAAGATTATCTTCTGTCGATTTTCATTTAAAAGAAAAGAATATTATCTTAATTTTGCATGAAAATTTTGTTAAAATAGAATATTCAAAATTTCTATAATGATTAAATGAATTATTAAAATTAAGATTTTCTTTTTTTTTTTTTATTTGTCATATTTTACTTGATCATAGTTCGAAAGAAAAAGCCACAACTTGACTTGTCAAGTGGAAGAAAAGAATAGAGATTTTTTGATTATATTAACTAAATAATCTAATAAAAAAAAAAAATGACAAGATGATTTAAATAAGAGACAATACTATTTCAGCTTAGAAAAGTGAAATATGTTTTTTTTTTTTCTTTTTCTCTATAGAAATGTTACAGTAAAGATTCTATCATAATAATTAAATATGAAAGCCGAGAAAAATTTTATTAAATTCTTTTGTTTTTATGTAGGGTTTTGGTTTTGTAACATTTGCGTCTAGTGATGATGCTGATACTGCTCGAGAAAAATTACATGGAGCTATTATTGAAGGACGTAAAATTGAAGTATGTATATGAAAGAATTTTTTCAATTAATATTCTTAATAATGTTTAATAATTACAAAACAAGAGTATATAAAGAATAAAATCTAGTTCATCTCTCTTCTTC